TACTTTAACACTGTGGTGTACCTCAAGTCTTTATCGACCTCACTCGGTAGCTGGCTATATGACAGTGGCACGCGTCAGGTGATCCACGACGGGAAACTCAGCGAGGCATTCAAAGTGCATGTAGGAGTAAAAACGCTGACTGCCAATTACTAACGACGATATTCATAATTGTGGTGGACTGGATTATGCGTCAGACTGTGAGTTGGGAGTAGAAAGATAGGAATACGATGGACCACCGATAAGAAGACTCTAGAAGATCTGGATTTCGCGTGTGGATGATATATGTCTAGTGTAACATGAACTCAAAGATGTGCAGACGAAAAGCAACAAACTGGTAGAATAAGTGAGAGCCAAAGATATGACTGTAGGTGAACATGGAGAAGACGAAGGTGATGAAGATAATAAACCAACGACAACAACCAGCACCAATCACCATTAAACAGGAAAGTTTTAACAGAGCTCACCTCCTCCACTTATCTAGGAAGCATCATTTCAACCACGGGCCAGCGGAACCGGTGAAGATGTCAAAACTAGCCATAATCAGAAAGGCGACATATGTCTTCATCACCCTGAAACCAGTTTGGAAATCGTCTGCGCTCAGCCAGCCAGGATAAAGAACAAGATTCGGATTTTCAAGATAAATACAAAGTAATTCAGCCATTTCTTCTTTACGAGTCAGGAACGTGCACTGTGTGTCGCGAAAAGGATTTCCAACAAGTTACGGACTATTATCAGCAGCAACCACCTTTGATGGGTGCATACTGAAGGTCAGACGTCTGATCAAAAAGAGTTAGCACTAAGAAACTCTATCTGAGAACAAACCAAAAGCTGATCGCTCAACAAATATGTTGGTGAAAATCGAGATGGACTGATCGAGCATAAGTTGAGTAGGCCGTCGAATGACACTGCGCGCAATGCTGGCCATCACTCGAGTGGAATCCAAATATGAAGGGAAGAGTAGGTCATCAGTGTGAAGGTGACAAGGAGGAGGTCATGTGGTGTGGCGAGAAGGAGATTAGAGACTATGGGCAATCGTGGGATAAGCTGAAGAGGACATCAAAGAATAGAATAAAGTGATGTGTTGTTAGAGCCCTATGTTCTACTTAGGACCCAAGGAAATATTTATAACAATTTTCACCACATTCGTACATCCAGTTTTTGTTTGAACTCTTCTGTCCATAAGTGAGTGTAAATTCTGAGCAATATTCATTATTTTGTAGTCTGTCGCCAATTAACACTAATTAACTTTTGCAACGATTTTATAAACCTTCTCTTTATATACTTAACTATTTCTTTAAGCTGCGCACAACTGATGAGAAGCTAGTGAAATAAATGATGGTACAGCTTCATTCTGCATAAATACGTGTTCTCGCTTTATTCATATTCATAAAGGAGGAGAAGTTTATGGATATAAGTATAAAACTTGGGCACTGTGGTAGAGTATAACTCCATAATGGATAAGATTTTATTTTAATAAATCACACAGTGTTGTACAGTTATATTAACTGATGACGTTTCGAGCACAAACTATTGTTCATAATCATATCAAGTTACTCACACAACTTCTTTCCTTCATTTATATACATGTGTGGAATCGATTAGATATTGGAATAAAATTCAATATGAGATCATGTACATTTGTAGGTTTGAATGCCACCCTAACTCCTGCTTTATTAAGAATCCTACGTAGGGTCTCAGATGTCCCTCCTTATATGGTATAACAGTGGATGAGAGAATATGTGAGAGAGAGAATGTAAGTCATCCACTGTTATACCATATAAGGAGGGGACATCTGAGACCCTACGTAGGATTCTTAATAAAGCAGGAGTTAGGGTGGCATTCAAACCTACAAACTCACTCAGGGACAAGCTCTGTAGGTTAAAGGACCCTATTGACCCAGTCAAACAAAATAATATAATTTACAAAATACCCTGCAATGACTGTGAATTCAACTACATAGGTCAAACTAGTAGATGAGGGATAGTCAGAGTATCAGAACATAAGAATTTAGCTAAGGGAAAACTGATTGACTGAAAAGATAAGTAATTTAGAAAAAAGCTCAGCTATTGCACTTCACGCATTAACAAGCACCCACACAATAGGGTGGGATAGGGTTAAAATTTAAAAAGTATTATATGGAGGTGGAAAGAGAGGTTGATTACGGATTCCTTATTCATCGAGTCTACACCCAACACATGCAACAGAAGTGACTCAATGCAAATACCAGAAATATGGAAGATATTAATACCGCCGGTCAAATCAGAAGAGAATAATAAATAATCTTTAAAAAAAAAATTCTATTTCCAATCAAACACATCATAACATTCTAACAATTAACTTATTATGACTATAAAAACACTCGTCGTATTTCCCATCTAATTGTAATAGATTAATAACACTCTTACTATTATTTCTGAATGTACATGATCTCATATTGAATTTTATTCCAATATCTAATCGATTCCACACATGTATATAAATGAAGGAAAGAAGTTGTGTGAGTAACTTGATATGATTATGAACAATAGTTTGTGCTCGAAACGTCATCAGTTAATATAACTGTACAACACTGTGTGATTTATTAAAATAAAATCTTATCCATTATGGAGTAGTTTATGGAGTTGCTTCGTTATTGAACTTACTTCTACCTTGACTTTAGCTTTTTCAACCACTTGAACCGAGGTTCCATCAGGCGACTAGAAAATCATCTTTTCGTATCACCAGCTCATTTCATTCTTCAAGTACACACAAACTTATATACGTAGTTCAATACGTTGAGAATCACCAGCATGTCTTTCCTAGAATGTTGAAACACGCGCTTGGTGATGTTAAAGAATAGAAGCTTTGCAGCATAACAGGTTCTTCTAACAACATCATCATGTCTTCGTTTAACTACTTCTTGTCAATAATATTTTTTAATTGGCAGGCTGATATGTACACAGCCTTCTCTGAAACCGTTTGGACAGTTTAACTAGCCCCAGTTTCTTCGAATTATCTTCTCTCTCAGGATATCCATTCCTAGATCAAATGTACTTAATGTTCTTTATCTCATGTTCACTTTTATTGTCAAAATACATGTCCTGTGCTCTGTTGAGCAGTGTTCTGACTGGGATCTTTTTATGCGAATGCACAACCGCCTGCCCACAGGAAATGAAAAATGTTTTTGTCTGATATAAAAGTCATATTTTGATGGATATGAAAAGCGTGCACGCGATTTTAATCGCATACTAAGCCGAGATGCCGAAGTTAATAGGCAGTGAAAGCGTTCTTCAATACAGACTCATAAAGTAATATTTTTATTCCTTTTGGTTTCATCCCAAACGCAGTACTTCGGTAGCACATCATTTTAATGTGTTCTTTCCTTTCCTTCGGCACTCTGGCCCATAGGTTTTCACCTCTTCCTCTCGCTTTCACCACCATATCATCCTATGGGCCACTTCCCACTTACCGTTTTTCATTCCGGTTCTACTTTAGGAACTACTTGATGTTTACTACCACTAATCAGTATCCTCAAGATATGCCCAATCCTTCTCCTATTTTTGGCTCGTTCGCGTCACGACAGACTTGCATTTTACCGATTCTTTCTCACCAGTCGTTTGATCTTTGGCATGGAGCAAAGGTAGCTGCTAATAAAAGTCTTCAGTAGCCTGTTGGAAATGTTTTTTGAAGCCCCTGAACCATATAGAAGCACTGACCTAGCATCAGTGTTGGAAATTCGAATCTTCTGTTTTATTCTGAGTGCAGCAGATTTCCAGTAATTTCAAAGTAATGAAGGTCTACACTTCTTCATCTATCCTATCCTGTGTTCGTGCCGCCTGGAGTCGTAACGATACTGTCTCGATAAGTGCGAAAAGTGACCTCTATCAAATAGATAGTGACCACTGGTTGTCGCTGTGTATTATCGCCTCCTCCAAAGTAGCATCAATAGAATTCTCAAGGTTTGGGAGCTCTTACTGGAGAGTTTTTTCACCCACTATGTGAAATAACTCATGTAAGACTGTGACATTATTTCACAAACGTGTTCAAATTAACCTAACCTTAAATTTTTTGAATTCGTTCACTCAGTAATGCATAAGTCATTAATTCCATATTTTATGCTACGTAAATTTCACATGTTATTCATGGATGCCATACACACTAATTTCTCTCACCTGATAGTGGTGTATGTTCACACGCCTTCTCCTAATAATCAAAGGAATGCAAAACCTGTCTCCCAGTTTGTAGTACATTCCTGCAGTTGCAGTTAAAATCCCTTTTATGAAATTAAAAAGCATAGGCGTTGAATTTTCAGCGATTTTAATACCATTTGCCCTACAAATAATTACTACTTTATTGAGAATACGTATGCACATGTCTCTCAACAGGCTTTCATTCCAGAATTCGATACAGATGACAATATTTTTATCTTACATTTGAGGATGCAATGCTCGAGAACATGAATGCGTTTACCTTTGTGTTAATAAAGATAGCTTTCTAGTGGATCTAACTGACCAATTTGGCCATCGAAGTAAAGTACCGTAGGTGGAATATAATCTCTCTATCTTCTGGAGATAGTTTCCGTGGTTTGTTGGCCATATTTTTTACAAACTTATACAAATCCTGAAATTCACTGAATTAATTTATATCCATATTCTACTGTTTGTTTTAATTATCCCTCCATTATTTGTGCGTTTTCTCGCATTCAATTTTGTTTCCCGTTCAATGGGATACACTCATTTCATCGTTGTACTTTCAGGTGTTTTTGGGGTCCAAGTGTGTGACCCGAATCCACTGCTTAACTTTATTTGACCAAATGATAAATAGATTGCATACAACGGAGTCGAACGAGGATGACCGTTTTAAGATGTACTTTCTACGAAAACTGAATTACCACGTATTCATTTCAGAAAAAAAAAATAGTGAGGGACTGTGAAAGGATCAGCTTCGTTCTCCACCGTTAATACACACAGTAGATTGCTTTCACACAATGGAACTCTTTAGAAAGGTATAAGAAGTCAAAATACGTATTTTGCAATTTAATTGAGAAAGCATAGAGTTTAACATAAAATATTTACCAGTTACATTAATGTCAATTAAAGATTATATGTGTAATAAAGAAAATTCAAAGTTTTACATGTCAGAAATTAAAGTCAGTAAAATATACTTTCAACTTTTGCACGGGTAAAAGTCTAAAAGTCCGTAACGGACTGGATCGGCATTATGAATTCGTCATTAGCCGCTATCTGTAAAACGAAATAGAATGCAACATAGTAATTAAAATGGGATATTTCCTTCAAACGCATATTACATAAACCTGCCAGTTAGATAAGTAATCACATGAAATAATTAGTTTTAACTGCCTTTTCTCAACTTTATATAGGCTTCCTTGCAGTAGTCGATACAGAGAATGTTGATAAAGTTTTCTCAGTAGTCTTGTAATCATAAAACTGAAGAAATGTTGTGTTCATACTAAATCATTTTAGGGAATATGACTGTAATCTTATTTGTTGTCGATTCATTGATGTAATTCGATAAGTAAGCATGGAAATAATTAAAATACACTTCTCCCAATTGTCACTTGACTGTAGAGTGTTAGTTTTTCTTACATTCATGGATATCCAAAATTTACTGATTGAACTTTTCAGACGAATAGAGGGGAAATTCAATGCAAATGTTTCAGAATTAAAATTCTGGTTGTTGTTCTGCATTTACTTACATAGGTCAAAGGATACACTGATTGGTTACAGGATTTCATCATGAGCTGAAATTGGTTAGAGGACCATTGGAGAACCTGGGAGTACTGAACAGCTGTTTCGTCCTAGCTTGAGATTCTTCAGCAATACACACCCACTGACGTAGTTCGAACCCTTGACCTTTTGGTTACAAGGACAGCTAGCTCGCAGACCATTCAGCCACTGGGACCTGATCCAATGGCCAGCCCATGAATTCTAACTTCTGCCAATCCATGACAAATTGCGACCACTAGCCGATGTCTTCGGTGATTATTTGCCCTCACATCCGACCTGCTGCACCCTACTTGTCAAGACTTCCCACTAGAACCCAAAGGTAACTACCTACCTGAATAGGGCTATTGGATCGCGTCCCAGTGGCTTAATGGTCTACGATCTCACCCTGTAACCCGAAAGTCCTGGGTTCGGACTGAGGCGGTGAGTGCGCACTGATGAAGAGTCCCAAACTAGGTCCAGTACTGCCAGGTTTTCCGATGGTTCTCAGCTCATGATGAAATCCTGTAACCAATCAATCAAATCCCTACAAACCGATACTTGAATACATAGATTCTTGATACCATTCAGTCAACAGCATCCTCACCATATCATAAAGTATTTTAGCTCAGTAATCAAAAATGTACAAAGGTGGATCCCGAATGAAGAAGTAACTTTTTCAGTAAAGGTACTAGTAAAGGTTTGTTTGCTGAAAGTTGAGATGTATGTCAGTCGTGTGCGTTTGTATTTCAGATCGGGATTCTGTCATTCAAGTACCGTTAGCACCATGTGTGCTTATATCTATCAAGCCACTGATTACATCTATGACGCCTATAAGTTCACATTTTTGGTGTATTAGAAATGCTTCTGAGTTTTCTTATGCATTGGAACTTTGAGTATTATAATGGTGAGAAATGAATAGATAAACATGCTTTATTTGATCTTTTTTTTAATTCCTCAACTTAGATTACCTAATGGTTTATGCGCATTAAATTATCTGACTTTAAATTGTCTACTCACTAGTTCAATTCATCCATGCAGCTGTTTAATTCAAATTAAGAGACAAAATTTAATTCTCAATTTGGCATTCAAGATTATTAGGTCATATGATGTCAAGTTGTCTAATTAAGCTCTAGTCCCTAATTAAATTGAAAAAATTCATTATCAGTATTGTTTCTTCACGCAAGGCTGTCAAACGTCGACTCTGTTCTGTTTGTGGCTTTCCGTTAATGGCAAACTAGAAGCACATATGAACACGAGTGAATAATTGAGTTTAGGCTACCGTTCTCATCACGTAGCATATGAGAAAATGTTAAATTCAAACCTTGCTGACGGATATTATTAACAAAGACTTAAACTAATTTTCCACTTATTTCTGAATAACTCTTGAACCAAACCATAGTCCGTAACTGTGTTCTACATTTGACATAGACAAAACAGCTTATTTTCATTAACAGATTATGCCTTCAACAAATAGTTCTGTCACAACTGATCAGTAGGTTTCACTTATTTGAATGTTGTCCGCATCTGTAAACATACCTCTCTTCTGAAAGCAATAATGCATGCAAAAGAAAATATTATGTTGGGCGGTTTCAGATGTTTAAAGCATAAATCACAACAATGATATTAGAGACAAAATTAGGTAAACTGACTTCCTTTTTCTCAGGAAACTAATTTCAACCCTCAATTCACTTCTTTCAAGACGAATAGTCCTTAAAAGCTGAAAAACATTTTCACATATATTACAACAGTATTCCCCACAGACGATTCGTCATAAACACAGGTGAGCGAATTTGCTTTCGTTTGGGGATTTCCAACATTCTCATCAGCTGAATATGGGAAGAGTGCATTTCTCCCATGATTATTGTATTATATTGGTTTATCTATAGTTGTCCAACCTCAGGTTTTCATTTGTAAAGTGCGCGTCGGTGGCACAACAATAGAATACTCCCCAATCATGCAAATGGTCTGGAGTTCAATCACCGGCTACGGACGCACTCCTTTATCTCGCCAACCCAGTAATAAGATTGATGAAGACGGAAGGTTGGACATGAGGCCAGCAACCCATCCTGTAAAAGTAAAACACCACTGCTACCAAAACGTCAAGCCTCTAGCTTGGAGCCGTATGTTCCATTGGGAACATAAAGGAATTTAAAAAAATTCATTTGTAAATATTGGAACTTACTTTGGAATCTGACAGTTAGCAATATTCGTAATGGTCAGAAATAGGCTTCATTGACGTAAGTTAAAATTTATAGGCACAGAATATCTGTTAATAGTAGATACTTTGTGAAATTCACTAACTTCCTCTCCTCTCTAGTAAATGATGTATTTCAGAAGTCTTGTTGGGATACTATGCATTACTCACATGACTAAGTACTTTATGTATCATTGAACTATATTCATTATGAATTCTGTTTTAGTCAGATTGTTTAGTAGATACATGTTTCACTGTAGGGCAAAATCATAAGAAACCTTGCGGATGTTCGAAAAATTTGACAGGTTAAATGCATTTGTAGTGTGGTTAGGCATTCAACAGTTGAAATTAAGCAACCTAATACAATATAATTTGTGGTTTCATCGTTCAACAAGCGAGAAATCTTAGAAATCCGATTATCTGTGGGATCTCCCACTTAAATACACCGAAGATGGAAGTGAAGAAACTATCCTTCTCTCTCTCCCTCAAATATCAGTAATGTTTGTCACGAATTTCCTGCAGAAGACATTTCATTCAATGAAACTTTCGACCTACTGTCCAAATGAACATAAATATATATATGCGTGTTTAAGGTTGAGTTGCAGAGTTACCCAACAGATTTGCAGGTCTCTTCAGAGTTTATTTTTCTAAAATGTCATCAAATTTCAAATAGTATAATAAACTGATCAAATTTATGATTTCAATGAATAAATATGTTCGTATTCTTACTGTTTCTCGAAGAAACTGTGCCTAAAGTGAAAGAAAGTTGAAAGTGTTTCCACATGACATATTTTATAGCATGTACAGAAATATAAACTCTTAGAAAGAGAAAAATTTTAAATGCAATCATTTGTATATTTCACTGAATTCAGGATATTCGACAGAGTGGAGTGAAACTTCCATCCTAGAATACTTTTATTTGTTAAAAACGAAAAAGTGGTACAGTATTATACACTGATGACATTTGGAGCACATTGATTGTTGGCAACAAATTGTGCTCGAAAGGTCATCAGTAAACATTTCTGTATCACTATTTGTAACTCGTCATCTGGATTTACCTGCTCACATTTTCAAACACCAAAGCGTTGTCCACTAGACCACTTGGGCCACAACAACCACTTCTTGCGCAACGGATCGAATTAATTATTTAACCTAAATGTGGTGCAGTCAAGTGAGAGTCCAAGGATGATATGGACGCATTTAAGTGAGCAGGAACTGTGAGGTTGAGGACAATAATGGAGCTAACTAAAGAGGACTGCAAAGAACACGGTTATACGAAGAAGTGCTGCCGAAACCCATTGTTCCACTCATAACCAAAATTAGTCAAATATCTGTATAGATGATATAACAGATTATATTACTTACACATTCATTGTAACAGAGTATCTGTAATAGGAAACATAAAATGAAAAGCATAACACTTTGCGAAATTGCGTCACTTTTTACCAAACTGTCTGAACTGCACCTTGGCCTGTGCACATGTAACATTCATGGAATCTTTTATTATTTATCTAAATACATGTTGTTTTATATTTCTTCTAGCATTAATTTCATCGTATTTTATAGAATGACTTAAAGTTGTCCCAGCGTATTCAGCGAAACTCAAACATACAAATTTTCTCTGGACATTCCGCTATCTAAGCCATAGCTTGTTTCTAGTAGAATTACACTCATTTGTCAACTGCCAAAATATATGATCAAATAGTACAGAAATGAAGGTGAACTTAACCTGATCCAGTAAGCTCTGAATTCCATCTTCTGTGATTTAGTCAAATATATGTATATGTATATATATGGCTAAATGTAAATTCCATTCCAGTAACTGATTGGTCTACAAACTTGCCTTCTAACGGTTAGGTCCTAGATTTGAACCGCAACAGGTGCGTACTACTGAAAAGTCCTCCATAGGGACGAAACAGGTGTTAAGTATTCTCTGGCTTTCCAATGATTTACTCAGTGATATCATCTCGTGATGAAACCTGTAGCCAATCATATCCCAGCCTATCACTGTTAAATTGTTACATGTATATACCTGTTTGTACATTTGCATGTATTGTTCACTGTATATAAAATATTTATTGTTTAAAGGTTTGGAAATAGTTATGAACAATCTATCTGTTTTACTATTTTAGAGCCTGCCACATTGGTGACGTTTCTACCCACTGTACCCGATTTCTCGCATTGCATGTGGTTAAAAATCACAAGGCTTCAAAGGTCGACCTTTCTTCATGTGGATAAAAAATGTTTCATAATATTTTTTGACATTGTCAGAATCGGTTTTATGCTCTTTTCCTCTAAACACTTACTGGTAAACCTGATTTTCTTTTAGACTCTAATTCCACTTCATTTCTAGGTGGCCATTCCCTATACTGTGCATGTTCATTCACTCAGACCTTCATCTGCTTACTGACTTTCATATAAAAACAAGCTTCACATCCTGAACATGTCACCCTATAAACAGAGTTGCTTTGTATCATTTCAGTAAAAATATTTCTCTTTTATTAATTAAAGCTTTTTCTAAAGAATAAATTGGTTTTTTGAATTAGACTGTAACACTATATTAAACTGTAGCTCAGACTGTCAAATATTCAGAAAAATCTTTTTCGACTTCCTAAACACCCTGAGATTGTTTTCAATGAATTTAGAATGATTCCATGCGACTGGACCCTTGAACTACTACGGAAGATGCTCAACATCTGTAAACCTTGATATTTATAGTCTTCCTCATCGATAAGAATATGATTCGGAATTTACTACTCATAATCAGACAAACTTGCTTTAATTAGTGTCGAAAATTATCCAAGAAAAGCATTTTCTGTTACTTACAGATATTCAGCATCCCTTGAAAGGAAAATATTTTAAAAACATTAAAAGTGGATTAGTAAATGTGTCAATTTAAGTTGGTGGGCATGATTTGTTTAGTAAGTAATTTGCTGGATGGCGCCCAGTAGTGCAATCCAGGACGTGCGTTTCAGCCTATTCAACACTAGTCAACTGGACGTATCTACATTCTCCAGTGAGCGATCGTATCCACACCGAGACTCAGTCAAAGTACAAGTTGTTTTAAACACCAAGGAATTATCCGCTGAACCACTTGGGACAAGAAATTCATCTCTTGTACAATTGGCGTTAGTTAGTGACTTGTTTTTGTAAGCCGGAGCCTACATGTTGACAGAGGTTGAACATTTTGGTCCAAATAACTCACAGAGAAATCAGAATGGACTTAAAAACAAATCATAATTGTTCATACTGACGAACAGAGATGGAAGGAGAAGTTCAATCATTGCATTAGTCTGATCAGTAACAATCGATTTTTGATCTTGAGTTATATCAGCGAAATAATTAGCGTTTGAAAACTTCTAGTTGTCCTTAAGTCTGCACGTTGAAAGCTGCTGAATCTGGAGAAACCCACAGCCTTACTATCATCGTACACCATGCATATGTGTGTATTTAGTTTTACGATTAGTACTTATACATTAATCTAACGGTTATGTATGGAAATTCTAAACTGAAGGAGGAAGAAATCTAATTAGACATTTTTGAAACTAGTATATACATTTTCAGTATTTACTTCCCTTTGTCAGATGGTGTTTGTTATATAAATGAATATATAGATTCCTTAAACTATACTTCTGCTCTAACCTTCTAATTTTCTTATATTTCCATTATTTTAGGAAAACAAACGCCATGCAAATACAGACTCAAGCATGAGTTCAGTGTATCTAAATGTCCAGGTAAATATTATTATTTGTCACTTCTTTCAGAATCTGCAAATAAATTTCAATTACCAAAAGTGAGGCTGTGATGAGGAATCTTTATGAGGCAGACTTTTCACACTCTTCGCAAAGATTTTATCTATATGACTAGTTCCGTTAGATGTTGGAAGATTTAACCGCTAACTCAATTCTTGTATAAAATCAGGAGAAAGACATGGTATTCAACATTCGAAGCAAAGTTCAGAGCTTTGTTTATCCAGACTTACCGAGTGTAATTTCGCCTGTTTTTTTGAAGGAGTAAGCAAATATGAAAATCATATTAGTGAAGTCAGTGGATTTACTAATTGTTGAAAACGACTAATTTATTCAACATGACTGAGTTTTCAATGACATATCAAAACATATTTTTAACTGTTTTCAATTTTGGAACAGTGTCTAGTGTATTACATTCATCATTTTTCATTATAAATCATCTGTGCAAGTTTTTATTGTCCTATTCTCGTTAACTAGCTGTCGCCAAGATACAGAACAAAATGATTCACTAGGGAAGAAATGCCATTTAACCAACTTTCTTTTATGGTAGTATATCGGTGAATTTACATACAAATCATGTATCGTACAATGTGAGTCAGTGGCATGGCGGTTAGGACTTTCACGACCATGCACATGGTCGGCAGTCCAATCCCCGCCCGTTGCACACCTGCAAAATTTGGCCACCGATATCACATACTGAAGATTCCATACTTGTACCAAAAGTATTGTGTGGAATCAAAATAAACAATAATAAAAATTATTTTGTTTGAGTGAAGCAAGGCAATTTCTGATCTTTGATTGTTTGTAGACAGCATTGGTGTGTGATTCTAGGGGACAGCGCTTTTGATCCAACCTTTTTGCAAATATTCTGCTTGATTCAAAGTATTCGTTTTGTACTTCACTCCTATTGTACAGCTACCTTACGGCATCATTGAGGTGACTTTGAGGTGTTGATGCTGTTGTTATTTAATAGAGCTACAAATCAATTAAAAAACCTCACTCTACTGTCTTTTGAGTACTTTGTGACTGCGTATATCTCAAGGTTATTTTGTCAACTATGCAGTAAGATGCAAAGATCTTTTTCCTGTGCTCAGACCACAATGAGTCAGTTTTGGTCGTAAAACTTGTATCTCACTACTTCCCAAATGGTTATTCAAATATTGGAGAGTGAATACTGATATAAAGATAGAAATTCGGGAACTCTGGTAGAGTATAATTCCATTATGGATAAAATTTACTTTGATAAAGTAACACAGTGTGATACAGAAACATTTACTGATAATGTTTTAATTGTATGTATTAGTAAATATCTTGATTGGTTGAATCAACTTTCTATCAGTGACCATAAACTAAATTTTTATTGCTATTGCTTTCTTTTGTGAGTGAAGTTTCGTAGAAATTTCATCGTTTGCGAAAATGTCACTTCAATTTGCTAAATGATGACCAAATAACAGGTTAAATCATGCTTCTCGGGTGCAAAATCAGGCATGAATTCACTGAGTATGATGGTACTAGTCATTCTGTTTCAACCTGAGTTTTCGATCTTGACGAGTGAATGATTTTCAGATAGCGGAGAGTAAATAATTATTACATTTATTGGCAGACTTATACATATCATATTTCAGCTACCGAAATAGACACCCATAGGAGGAGCATAAAAGTAAGATACCACGTATGAAATGCTGATATGGACTGTCCAGTAAAGACAGACATATGAATTAAAACAAATTCATAAATATGATACGTGTTACTATCGATTATGCATTCCCCATTCGACAGAAAGAAGACAGTTACCTCATTGCCTACACTTTCAAAGTGTCTTTATGTCTTATCATCATTCTGTTTGCCTGTGAGCAGCAAAGGTATCAGATTGCATTACTAGAAGGCACTAGAAATTATACGCCTAACTACATATGTCAGTTATGACAAACTCAATCGCTTCCTTTTACTACTTAAATGACCATTTCATGTTGAAATAATAGAGAAGATTTGCAACTTAGATGGATGATTTACAATTAGTAGTCTTCTCTGAGCTGGTTGGTTGAGTCGCGGAGCTTTTGTTGTCCTTCTCGACAACATCTTCAGTGCGATTTTTAGCATAAAGTGAACTGATTTAAATTTTCCATGATTGATAGAATTGCGTCTCCTGGTAACTATCTTTACATATGTATTATCTCAACATGCTTAGAACGATGTCGAAATTTTAGACAGAAGAAACACCAAGAAATGCCAAGGAATTCCTAAAAGCCTGGTACCCAAACGAATATGCAAATAACAAACATATTAATATCGACCAAATATACCAACTATTAAAAAATAATTCATGTGACGAGAAAGTTTAAGATCCGAGTCAATTAAAAACCGATGGTTACCAAGAGACACAATTCTATCACTCATGGAGAAAATTTAAATCAGTTCACTTTATGCTAAAAATCGCGCTGAAGATGTTGTCGAGAAGGACAACGAAAGCTCCGCAACTCAACCAACCAGCTCAGAGAACACTACTAATTTGCAGATCATTTCATGTTCCATAAATACGTTCATATTACCAATGAACAAATACTAACTAGGCAATATTTTAATGCAATTGTAAGATATTAAAAGATAATTAGCACTGACCCATGGTTCATGTGATTTTGTCTAAAAGTTAAAATAACAGGAATATATATATTTTCATGAAAACCAGTTATAAGATGAGAATAGGTGGAGCTCATTATCATACCCTTTGTGCATATACAGTTCACAGCTTCAGTTTAAGCTACACTGATTGACAAACATTTTACATCCCCCATCAGAGACTGTTTCGACTGCATCATCAACTCAATTTCGAAAGGAATTACAATTAATGAAGTAATGTATATATATATCTTGAATTGCACGTTTTGTCAACAAAACTCCTAAAGAATATCTGACATGGGAACAATTAACTAAGTGTTTACTTAGCACTTCAAATCGTATCTGATGAAAATTCTCAAACTTCGCATTAATCAAACCCATTTTCACTGATTTACGTAATTGATGAAACCGAAATCAGATAGAAAACTTACATTCTGTCTAACGAGCTCTTTCTATTAATAAATAAAATTTGAAGAAAGAAAGAAAATGGATTAAGTTGAATTTGTTTTTTCCTGTTGTGTTATTGATTCTAAGTGCTTGCCACTTGTTTACGTGGCGGTACCTATTACAAATGCATCAAAACATCTGAGGACTAACACGATACTATTTGGTATTGGCATTCACCAAATAGCATGAGGAAAGAAAGCACTTTTTTAAATTGATTTCGCGTTATTTTCAGAAAACTGTTTGATGTTTAGTAAGTGAATTTTTGATTTGTTTTATTTCATCTTCACGTATCTTGGATAAAAAATTATTTTCTCGAGATGAAGAAAGATATTTTTAATCAGAATAGTGAAATACTTCCAAAACCGTATCGTTTGGATTCATTGCCTACTTTATAAGTGGCTATCACCTATCAGTTCACATGAATTGTTGTGTATATCTATGTACTACTGATTGATTGAGACGAGTAGTTGGACACAACTCATCTACGAATAGAGCGTGCCAGATATATCAGAGTCATCTGAACACCTGACATCCGTTTTGCTCGGCTGGAGCTGAGGTCATTTCTAGTGTACTCAGTTCGACTCAGCTCAGAGAGGAACTGTTTACACGACTAACTTAATTTACAAGAATTTTTAATTCTGAGTGAAGTGAAGCTGTAGCGCCGAGTATATTTCGCAAGTTTTAGCCAACGGAATGTAATCTGTACCTAATAGAAGAAAAGCATATATATATAATCAATATTTTCTTGGCATAAAAATTATATTCACTTACGCAACGTCCAGGTAGCTGGCCCTAAGGATTTCAGAGAAATGTATCTTTAAAGTTAGCGTCAAACGTTGAAATAATTCAGAGAATTTAGGCTATTATGATTCATATTTTGCAATAATTTCACATTGAAAAAAATCCTTTCTACTACTAGAAAATATTATTAGATTGTTTGAGGCAATAGGCAGGAAGCCTTGCCTGACCTAGGTTTCGTGCTTGTTAGCATTCAACAGTCAGCAAGGTATAACTGCAATCTTAAAGGAACTCATGTCACTTCTGAGAATTGAACACGTGTCACCCATTGCTGTGGTCAGACACGTTACCATTGAGCTATTTGGTCATGTCATTGAGCTCCTGTAGGACTGTATTAGAAATGTCTGGTGTCATGTATTTAGTCATTTTGTTTTGTGCAGATTGAATTCTATCGGTTAACTTTGCAATGTGCCAAAAAGCACTAGTCTAAGGTTGGGAAAGGCTTCCTGCCGATTGTCTCTGACCATCTAATGATAACGGTCATAAGTGTACGGTGATGGTGAGCCACCTAGTGGCATGGTGGCCACATTTCAAACTTGGCCGATGGAATCCGGTCTGCAGTAAACAAAAGGATTAGACACAGGACACAAGTTATAGTCCAATCAAAAGCTGGAAGGTATTGTTTATTCAAAAAAATACGTACATTTCTGAGTAATTTACTCACCTGCTTATGTCATCTCCGTAACCACTAAAATGTAATATTAAAGGAAATGTCAGTTAAAATACAAATATGGACAAAAGAAAAAACGTTTCATTCCGACCGTTTTTCTAATGTAAACGCCAGTTTGACGCGAATTTGTGTTTATAACGACACATTCACTGTTTATCAACTGAATTTTATGCACAGAATTTTGTTTTTCAATTCATAATCATTAAGTCCCTAAAACACGTTGACATATTTCCAAATATCCTCATTTAACAATGACCTCACGATTGCTGAACAAATATAACATCTTTTACTGTTAACATCGATTATCACAACATTTCACTTACAGATAATGAGCCATAGACTTCCTAAAAATATATTTTCGTTAAGTACAATATTAACACGGTTAGTAAGACATGAAGAAGGACATTAACAGCGTTGTAAACTGTTGTTATAACACATAGAAGATATTTATTCAAGGAACTTTGCCCATAGCTACTCATTTGATGGGGTGTTCGAAGTTTTATGTTTAAGTGACCCAGTGCGTTATCCTGGATGCAGCTCCTAACCCACCAGTAATGTTGTTTCGATTGTCATCAGACTAAAAGCAGTTACCGTCATAGTAAAATTCTTGTGGGAGAAGTAGTACAGCTGGGGAATAGGGATGTATTAGTTATAAGGTGTTCCTGTCAGATGACTTACATATCAACTGCGGTGCCACTGCACTCTGAAGACGGTGGTTTGCAAAGATTGTCCCTCAAAATTATACATTCTTACTTACCTTCCCGTCGTAAGATATTTTTATGGACCTTGTTTGACGAGCCTCAAACTGTTTTCCGCTGGGCTCTAAGATCTTGCAACACTAATGTTCCTTCTGCTTCAGGTACTCCAACTTCCAAGATGTGGCCAGTCGGAGTTCACAATCTTTCACACCATACATACATAGCATGCACAGCTTTCTCAACCAACACTCATTTTATGTGTAGCTGTCGCCATTATTTCAATAAAACAGAAATCAATACCTGAAAGATTCTGTCAATTGGATTTATCGCTACATGCTCCTATGATCCAGCGGAAAGTATGATCAACATTGCTCAATTTGAATTTTATTAATTAACAGAAAAGTGGTGAGTGATTCTTCTTCTTTGACCATTTCATGTCGACTAATGCCAAAATGTTCAACGCCAGTTAAGTAACAGATTACCGGAAACTTACAAGCACTTTCTTTGCATAGTGCTGTGAGTAAATATGAATCATATAAGATATTATTGAATACGTGCATGAATATATTTGTATACTCAATTTAATGCTATCAGCATATTCCACCCTGAAAGCGGAGTCAATAGGAAACATAGTTGGTACAATAATTTAAATATTTCCACCCAGAAAAGAACAGTTACAACTGGCAACATAGATTAGAAATAGTAGACATAGGAAAATTGGGACATATCCTCCAACCAATCAAACAAAAATTCCCTATAAAACCAATACTTCAAAATAAATTCATCTGATGCTCACTAGCGACCGGCCCTATTCGGGCAGTTAACCCGGGGTTCTAGTGGGAAACCGTGACCAGTAGAATACAGCAGGTTGAAGGTAAGGCAGTAACTCATCGAAGAGGACAATGCATAGTGGTCATGCTATGTAATGAATTGGCAGAAGTTACAATTCATTAACCATTAAGTCGGATCACAGTGGTTTAATGGCCTACGAGCTCTCTGACTTTGTAACCAGAAAGTCATGAATTTGAACTGTGCTAGTGGGTGCGTAGTGCTAAAGATTTCCAAACTAGGACAAAACAGCTGTCCAGTTTCTCTAACTGATGTCAGCTCCTGATGAAATCCTTCAACCAACCAAACATAGGACATATGTTTTGTTTGTTCCCAAGCATTTTATGCGTATTTGAATGGGTATGTCCGCAAATGAGTGAGGATACTTAAATTTAGGCTATTCCCTAACTTAAAATTAAATCTGCACAAAATTTGCTATCTGATATCAACGATCAGAAGAATTCAGTGAATAATTTGGGGACTCCACTGTCTTTCTATGAGTAAATGAGAGCTACAATATAGAATATTTTGTCACTTATTTCTGACTGATTCACTTGAATAGATGTGCATATATGACAGCAGATAGTTAAAACTGGTATCAATATATCAATTCATTCGTTTCTGATGAAGACGAATTCGTATATTCTGAGCAGGGTGATTTAACCGCAAAAGTTTTGTTCTGGTAGAGAGCACCTTCAGTGCGAGATTTAATGTGAGTTGAATTTACATGAATTCACCCGGAATGATATAAGTGTATCTCCTGACCAACCTCAGTTGTGACTAGTTGATAATTTGTATTTTTGTTGGTCGTTTAAATCTTTTTCTCATGCTTTTAGTTCTTTAATTGTTGGTAGATTTGATCTATAATAATGTGTCTGCTAATCGCTGATTCGTCTAAGTACCCGGCTTCTAGAAATTTGCTGGCATTTTCAATGTTTTCGCTGCTTAAAATGTCTACACTTCCCCAAACTATTAGGTGTTCATAATTGTCTACACGCATCAGTATGAAAGACCACATACCATGTTTTTTTCATAATTAGTTTATGTTCTTGGATTATTAGAGGAAAAGAACGCCTACTTTGACCAACATCGTCTCTCTCTTCTCATATTTTTGTTCCTAAGTAAAGCAAAAGTTGTTTCTGTGGAGAACAATAGTATTTGGCATTCAGTCGACTTGTCTGTTGCATTTCGGTATCAGTATACCCATATATTAACTATCTTTCAGAATCCAAAATATCGATAAACAGGTAATGTTGGAGTATTTTCATCTAAAAACGTTAGTAAAACTGATGTGGTGTGTTTGTGCATTCAGTAATGAGATCAGAACGGATTCAGCATTGAACATTTACAGGTGAATAGTTAGCATCTTCCTCATGTTAGATAGTTGAAGACACTAAGCAGTAAGGCCTGAACCTAGATTTCATGCTTGCTGACACTCATCAACAAGGTGCATCTTCAACTTGTCTCATTTCTGAGATTTGAACCTAAGTAATCCAGTTATATATTCTGTGACGTTTCTCTTGGGCTGTTTAAATTCTTATAGCTCAGAATTTCTGTTTCCAAATTTATATTTATTTTGATTACCAGCGTTAAACGTGTTTAGTTAAATAAAAATTCCACTTTGTAAAAAATTTGAATTATGCTTACAGTATCTTCATTGACTTTTGGCTAAAATGGAAATGTGAACGGAGCAAATTCAATGTATGCAAGACAGAAGACTGAATTCTAAACGATCATTTTATTATTATTTTCGCCTTCAGTACTGTGTGGAACATAGGACTACAACAGCACTATTATGAGGAATAACGTCAATGATTACAAACAGCTTTGTCTTACTCCCGCCTTCACAATACAGCCTTGGTTGAGCTCTCTTTTGAGGATTACTTAACATCTGGCATTATCATATAGTTTCTGGCTGAGTTTGATAGAGGTTCGCTGCACTCCACATTATTGAAACAGTTTCCAATTTACCGTGCAGTCAACGGTGCCGAAGGCCTTTACAAAGTCAATGAAGTTGTAGTAGTTGTTTGACTGCTATTCTATCCTGTCTTTGATGGTGAAGCTTAGAGTTGCGATTTTATTCGCGCATAATTCACATTTCCAGAATCTAGCTTGTTCCGGTGGTGATTTGCATCTAGAGCATCCTTTTGTCTTTCCAAGATGTCGTGACTTGATATTTTTCTTATAGTCGACTGCCAAATCTTTCAAATACTGAAGTTGTCCCTCTTTGGCATTCTTGACAAGGTATCCTTCTGTAGATACCTTTCATTCCCTGTAAACTTTCTGCAACTGTGGGATCAGAATATCGGCTCAGCTCTGAGGATCTATTTTCAGAGCTTCAGGAGGTATTCTGTCTGCTTCTGCTGTCTTCCAAGTGGGGTTTCAATAGCTTTATGGTATTCAGGATTTCTGCCTGTTTCACCTATTTTACTGGCTTGTCGTCGCCCAGAAAAAGAGGGAAGGTTGGGCTTGGAGCGAATCACTCAGCTCCGGGAAATCAACCCATTTGCTACAGAAGAATGTAAACCATCGTAGCATTATTTATTATTACTATCACTTCTAGCTGTCATATTTATCACTCTAAGATTTCTTAATGTTCATTGGATATAATCAACATATACTGTGTTTGCATTGATTATGTAACTTACATATCAGTTTTGGCAGATCTAGTGGAAAGGAAATATCAAAACATTCATAAAGTACACATCACTAAAGTTATATACAATCAGCATTAATGTCTGTGTAACGTGCTTCAAGTGAACTCAACACATAAAAGCGTAATTCCAAATTTGCATTTTAAATCTTTTCTTGAAATGGTAACAATTTGATCAAATAACAGAGAGGTAACAGAGGTAATGAAGATTCCTGGTCAAGAACAACAACAACAGACAACGATCAGCATAAATGGGAGGAACCTGAAGGAAACAACTTCTTTCACCTACCTGCGAAGCATCGTCTCAACTACAGGCGGAACTGACGAGGATATCAAAGCAAGAATCGGGAAAGTAAGACAAGCTTTCACTAGTCTCAAGCCTTTGTGGAGGTCAACAGCACTCAGCATCAAAAATAACATCCGGATTTTCAACTCCAATGTGAAGTCAGTGTTACTATACGGATCAGAGACTTGGCGCGTCATAAAGAGCATCTCAAACAAACTACAGACCTTCATTAACATTTGTCTTCGCTCAATACTCAAGTTCAGATGGCCGGTCAGAAAAGATCAGCAATACGGATCTCTGGGAGCGAACCAACCAAGAACCGATTGTGCAGCAAATAGGAAGGAAGAAATGGAGATGGATTGGCCATACTCTGAGGAAACCATCAAGTGACATCACTAGACAAGCCATTGCTCGAGTGGAAACCGGAAGGGAAGTGGCGAGTTGGTCGTCACAGGGTGATTTGGAGGAGGTCATGTGAAGAGGAGATGAAAACGTGTGGACAGACATGGAGCCAGGTGAAGACTGTAACAGAGAACCGAACGCAATGGAGACGCACGGCTGAAGCCCTATGTTCCTCTAGGAATTAAAGGAAACAATAAAAATAATAATCAAATAACTGGAATGAGCTTGAACTGACAGCTACTCATGTTTGATCCCAACTGTAGACAGTTTTGATTTCTCAAAACTGCAGAGGTATTGTTAATTCAACTAACTTTTGTTCCTAAACTCTTCAAAGATCTTTCTCGGACTTTCTGTCTAGAAGCATAAATCTTACTTACACTCCTGTTTAGTGAAAAGCCATCTGTGTTACTGTCAAACAAATCGACGTCTCTCACATATTTTTAGTTAATCATTCTTGAGGAGAAAAGGTGAGTTAAACAGTCTAACCAGCCAGGTATTGTTATTCTATTAAAAACTGAGAAAATAGACAGAATCCATTAAAAGCATACACGTACCCTTCAATCCTACATAAAAATATTTTCAGGAAGCATAATAAATTAATTAACCACTGAAGTTTACTAAATACAAATCTGTAAGTGTGAAGTAACATATGACGCTTGTCAGTCAAAGAATACTGTGAAGTGCCTTCCTCATTTCTGAAATATCATCAGCATATGCTATCACTGCACTGAAATTTATGAGATTGGCATAATTTAGAGGAATGTTAACCTACTGATTCACTGGTAACTCATAACTCATCTTGGTTATTTCAGACACCAAAGAATACTGTAATACTGTGCACATCTTAAGGACTGGGCGTTATGGTGAATACACTTTGTTCTATGGACAATACTGACAAGTGAGAACACCCTTTCGATTGTCCCAACATTTCACAGTTGCGTTCACATCAAATTCCCAAATATGCTTATTGCTCCCGAATACTTTTCATTATGTTTTGAAAAGAATCAATTTCTGTCTCTGTTAATGTGAGCATTTGTGAAACAGGGAATTAATCAATTCATGTGAATCTCATCAAATGTTTCCAAAAAGTGATTACAATTATCAATAAAAACTCAAAACATGAAACAAATCAAAATTGTAAATATAAACTAACAATTTTTTTAAGAATTTCAACCTGGTGTTGACAAGAAAGTTGAAAATGAAAATGTTATGATGTTTGCTGTAGTAATATAGGTGAAAATCAAACAAAATTGGTAATTTATCAATATCTCCTCCTCGTTGTGGCATCACTTTTCGGTGGAAGGTACTTTTGTTCAAACGAATGAGCTGTTTTTATACATCACATGGGTTGCGTGCTAAGCGTAACATAAGTAAAAACTGACTAGGACTATTTCTGATCATTTAATGATCGATGCTGAACAAGTAATTTTGTTTTTTCCAAAGTAACTGGCTTTGCTGAAAGCTGTTTTATCCTTGGAAAAAAAAGAATCTAATACGACATTATTCGCCTTTCAAACACACGTATCCAACATCGATTAGATATTTGATACAGTCGATATTCTGTAGTTAATGCAACAGTCTTTGTGAAGTTTTGTTTCAAATGTTTTATACTTCTTAAAGATTCGGAAATACTTTGGCTGTTCATGACTTATTCATGAAATTCGGAGACCGGAAGAAACACGCCTTCTGTCAGTAACAATATATATATATATATATATTTATATACACTTATATATATGGCATATACATTAAGGTTAATTACTGCATTCGTTGTAATTGTACAGGCTGGGATTCGCAGCACGAAACGGTGAGTTCCATTAGGCGTAAAATATTTTGGATATTCTGATTACGCAAGTACTTTTTTATCGATATTCAACTGAGCATAAACCGTCGAAATTTCATCAGTCGAGGTTAAAATGTTTACAGGTCATTACCACAGATAAGAGGTAGGAATATTATGTAAGAGGCATTCAGCAGACATGCACAAAAGACAGCTCTGAAGAAAAACTACAAAGCCTCACTGAAATATTATTAGATGATGACTACCACCTGAAATTCATTAAACTCTATAGAAGCGACAAGCCAAGGGATTCATTACTCCAATCGAAATTATCTCTTAAATATATACAGATAATTTTATGTATCCTTACAGCTCAAGCGTAGTCGCCAAAGTCTGATTAAAGACCTAGAGAGGCACTTTAAAGAACCTGGTATGCAACTAAACTCATTATCATAAATAAAACGAGATTTGTGTTATCATGTGAACGTCAGTGTCACATCCCAATTTTTCTACCAACTTATTCGTGTGTGTGTGTGGTCACACGTACATACGGAGGACTCATCGATGTCTGCAGGTTAGTGATACACAACGTATTCCAAAGTGTCTCCAAGGAAAAATGAAACCACCTAATACAGCTAGTCCTACAAATGGATGTCCAGAATTATCTATCCCAAAGCACATCTTAGAGATGTTTCTCAAAATTGATGTCAATAATTCATTTAAACCTAGATATAATATAGGTGTAGGTCACATAAATTTCTTGAAACCTTAACCGTAAAAAGGCTTAAGTCTGTTTTATGTACTCAGAACTTAATTTTCATTCCTCTGAACTTGCCCTAAGAATCAAATTTTGTAACTGAAGTTCATTTTACTTCATAATACTTTCACCGCGATCATTTTCCATACCAAGTATCTGTCATCACGACATGTAAACAATTTGACCTATATTGATGAAGATGTTCTATTGGCTTTCCAAGTAAATATGTGTGTTAAGTACATGTATGATCAGGATATCCAAAACGTTTCTCAGATAAACTAAGTCTTCTTATGGTTCTTTGAAAGATAGTTTTTTAAATCAATTTGAACTTACAGTACTCGAAGATAACTGTCACTGAATTTCAAGGGTGAATAAATTGTTGTACAGTAAGTCAGTGGCAAGATAAATACTTGACGGGAAAAAAATTCAGTCACTGCTTATATAGGGACAATTAGTCACAATCATAGATATGTATGATGCTAGTTGTGAAATTCATCTCCCTTTAATTATTACATTTTTAATGAATGTGAAATAATAAGAGAGATTTTTATCTCAGAATAAGAACAGTTATATTTTTTTTATTCTGTGCAGAGATTACTTATAATGATGTCAACAGTTCTCTTAAGGAAACATTCCTGAACAAATACTAAAGTTGAGAGAACGTTGAACACTCTCAAATGTCTATCGGTTCAGAAATACGTGCAGGACTTACAATAATTCGAAAAATTCTGGGCTGAAAATAGAAATAAATCAGAATATAGGTGAGAGTTAAATGCAAATATATAGCTACTAGTGAATTATTTGTGTATTCTTGCCATCTACGCTAACGCCTGCTTAACTTGGTGTTAATCACCACTTGTGATTTTGATGGCTGTACAAAAAATATAAGCACTTTTCCAACTTAAATGTCTTTATATACAAAATGGTTAACTAACGAAAGTGAGTTTATGGATCAAATAATATTTTCTATAGTTAGTTTGTAAGGATTAGTTTTGTTTCTACTAGTTGATCACGGATTGAGAGAGAGAACCAGTGAAAACAAGGGAGTACTGGACAGTCAGCTGTTTCATCCTAGTTTCGGAATCATTGCCAGTAAGCAATCACTGGGGTTCGAGCCCAGGACCTTCTGTTTACAAGGCAAACTCGTATACCATTTAGCCATTGGCAGACATTGGTTGGGATCGCGCTAAATCACGAATTGGTAGAAGCTAGAATTTATGGAATGGCTGACCATTGAATTGGGTCTCAGTGGCTGAATGGTATACGAGCTTGACTTGTAACCGGAAGGTCCTGGGTCCAAACCCCAGTGGGTACTTACTGCTAATGATTCCCGAACGAGGATGAAACAGCTGGCTGTCCAGCATTCCCTGGCTTTCACTGGTTCCCTAACTGATATCAATCCGTGATCAACTCATAAAAAGATCAAATAATAATAGTAATAATAATAGTGTGTTATGTGTTTTGAACCTCAGTTATAACGATGACTTTAGTGATAACAAAAAACAATGTTTATAAGGTTTATGAACGAGGCAATAGGAATAACGAAGGTAGTAATATGTGTACATGTATACAATTTAATAAATAAATAAATACATAGCTTCAACTATGTGTTATTAATCAAATGAGACAAAATAGAACTTATAGATTTTATTCAAGCTTTTATGAACTATGGAGGAAGATGTTCGGTTATACATTTGTTGAGCTGTCTAGTTGTTCGCCCTACGGGAATTCAAGGGAACAATCCTAGTCTCTGCATACAAAAGAAGTTTGTCCTACCTTTGTCTCTCCCGTGATCTAGGTAAATTCTAAATAAAACCGTCTTACCCTTTCTGAGTTCGCGCTTCCTTTCCACTGTTATGGTATTTGTTTAAACTCTGATTATCTGTCCGCTTCACCTTAAGTATTACGTAACTTTTAAGATCTAAACTAATCTATATATTGAATTGTCCACAAGTACACATATTACTACTTCCGTTATTCTTATCGCCACTGAATAAACCTCGCTGTCATTTTTTTCGTTATCATTATAACTGAGTTCGACCACGGTTTGATTTCAGCTAGAGAACCATTGAAAACCACGCAGTACCCGACAACTGTTTCATCCTAGTTTGGAAATCATTGGCAGTACTCATGATGGTCATGCTAAAATCACGAATTGATAGAAGTTAGAATTCATGAGCCATTGAAACGAGTCCCAGTGGCTGAATGGAATACGAGCTTGCCTTGTTACCGTAAGGTCCTGGGTCCGAACCCCTACGGTGGATGTGTACTGCTGATGATTCCCAAACTAGGATGAAACAGCTGTCCAGTGCTCCGGCACTGGCTGGCTGGATTCAACATAGAACTTGACACCGAGGTGCAGCAGTTCGAGTTGCCACGTTCCAAAGAGCACACAAACGTAGACAAGAAAATGAGTGAAGAGAATCAATAGAGTTTTGACAAGTATAAGAGTGAAACAGAATGAGTAATGGTAGAAAGGAATATGAAAGATTACAGAGACTGAATACATCTGCGTAATCCATTGACAACGACTTTGAGCCATGTCACCTATTGTCTCCAGCCACCATTGATTCTGAGAGTCCCGAGGGCCCCAACTCGGAAGTATGAATCTCCCTCCCTATCTGACTCAGTTTAACTGTCAAGCATTTCATGGATTGATTCCATGTTATTGTTTGGCCACCACTTACTCTTTTCCAACCTGCAACTATATCAGCTAGTAATGTCCGTCGGGGGATGCGATGGCTAGGCATGCGCAGCACGTGACCTAGCCATCTCAATCTATGTAACTTTATAGCCTCGTCGATTGATTTTCCCTCTTTGCCCAACACTCTACGCACTGGCTTTCAATGGTTCTCTAACTGACATCCTCCCCCTGTTCGAACTCGAAAAACAAATCAATACCTTACAAATCAACTCTTCATCATTATAATCATCGTTTATACTGACGAAATTTTTTAACATACTGTTAATATTACTATTAGTATAATCTGATCCAAAATTACACCCCTACTGGTAATACTTTTTATGTGTGAAGCTATGTAAATTAAAGTAAAGCCTGAAGAAGATCTAGTTGAAAACAATACTGTTAGCTTATATACGCCTTGCTTTAATATTAATAATGGGAATATTTAAAGATTAATGACCAAAACAAACAATATTTCCGTGTGTGTTTTTACTATCATTTGTATTTTGCCCTACTAATTACAGTTCACGTTTTCAATAATCAATAAAATATTGTCACCATTAAGCAACAAAGTTGAAAGTGATAATGTAATTTTAGTGCTCACTTGAAATTTGCCTCAGCTGAAAGATAATCAAAATTTAAAGACCCTTAGTTAGCTCAGTGATTCCATATAAAACATTTAGACAGTTGTTTAGGTGTAAAATTTCTTTCGGCAATGTTTTTTAAATAAAAATTGAGGAAATACTCTCTTGTTTTATATATTGGATGATATGTAACATTTCATTTTTGAATTTGTATGTTTTCTACTCTGGAATTTTTTAAGAGTTCATTATGTCAAACAGCGAATCTTTTCAACTCTCTCTGCTTCGAGTAAATCAACTTACCACAAAGATCACCTAGAGCAATACAATAAAGTGAATACAGATGAACAATGAGAAGTACCATTATATAGACTGATCAAACCTAAGTCGCAACAATATTATTCACCAAATAAGATTGTATCTCTTGTATAATGTAGCTGTTCCATCAGTCAATATCTACAATATAGTCGTTGAGCTAGCTGATTTTCAATTACTGTGTGACGTGAAAAGATGTTACACTACTGTAGTCAATTAAAATCTCAATGCTCAATCCCACAACTTGATGGAAACGTCCCGAAACGCAGGATTGTAGGGTGTCGGCTCAATTTTTTGAAGTAAATCAGTTCGTAATAGACGGTTGAATGCCTTGAACACCCTGAAACAGGGTTAGGGGGGTTGGAATCTCATAAGAGACATGGGTTTCTTCGGGGTTGTAAATAAGCCTTGCTGATGAGTGCCAAC